ATGTGAATGGAGTCCCTGTCTGCAGCGAGATCCGTGGACAGTTCGGGATTCTCGGTAACATCAAAATCAACGACCAGTCCAACCAAGTGGTAGACGAGAATAAAGCAAGTCTACTTTCAAATACTCTTCAAGTTTTTTTGATGTAGATGGTGATCATTATGATCCATCATGTTTTATACGACTTATATAGAAAAAGTTAACTTTAAGGATTGTTTTAAAAGTTACACTTCTCATATAATTATTCAAAAAACCCCTCAAATTCGATTAATTAATTGACCGAACAAACCGCGTTTCAGCTGGAGTTTTCGGCTGTGATTGGAGTGGATGAGTTTTGTCCAGTTGGAACCCAGGTGAAGTTGCACGTGACTGCCTACCACATTGACGCCACGACAGCCAGCACCATCGAAGTATCCCAGACAACTCAGGACATATTCGTCATTGTAAGAGTCGCGGACTTTCACTGCTGCAATATGGTCCAAAAATACCAATTTTTCAAATAGTTTGAATTTGAATTCATTTCTCCAGAATCATTACAATTCTGAATTTAAGTATTTCAGAATTCTGTCTTTAAGTTTCTGTTTTAACTGAAAATCCTGAATTATTGGCAATTTCAGACAATCAGGATTGATCATTGATGTCCAATTTTCAAAATAATAAATGAAAACTATCAGAAAAGCTCCAGACAAGCTTCCTCAGTGAATACCATCATGACCAAGAACACTGCAAAATGATGTGACTGTGAAATCATCATGAGACGACAATTCGTAACAAGCGACGATTCGTTACAATCGATGATTCGTAACTTTTTGAAGGGGACAATTCGTACCAAACGACGATTCGTATCACTTAATTGCTAATATGGGGATTAAAAATTGCGTTTTAATTGTTAATTGAAAATGATGTGGTGGAATGAATTTTTGTTTATCACCTAATAATTATATCAAAAAACTCAGGTGGGGACTCAAACTTAACGTTTAGTTAAATCTTGGTATATCAACGTTTTCAATTGGTTTCAATTTAGTTATCATAACGACAGTAATTTGAAACTATTACCACTTCAATCATGGACTTTCCTACCTGGATTGTGACTATTCTTCTTGATCATCTATCAATCCCTCTGGATCAAGTTGATGGATCTATCAACTTGATTCATACAAACTCTTCCAGCAATCTCCCTCTAGAATACACCATCTGCCAACGCGGCAAGCGGCAATTTCTTCTAGAGGGAAAATTATTGACAATGAAATGTTACTGACTAGACCACATGGTGATGCTGTAAACGTCCCTGTAAACTGCCCGTTATAACCTTCGATGGCTCATTTATTAGTGAAAAGAATCAATGTGGCCACAAAAACATTCCACAGGAGCCGAAAATCAATTTTTGATGTTTGCACATGCATGTAACAGAATGACAAAAAATTAAATAATAGGTTCACTTTTGGACTAAAGAAAGCTTAAACAAGCATGCATAGAGACCGTGCATTGCTGTGGAAACTAAAGGTTTTTTCAGCCAAACTAAAAATACGATTGAGCAAACTTTATTTTTCTGAGCATGCCCGTAGTTATCTGGGTGGGGATTCGAAATTTAACCCAAATGCTAGAATTTGCTTTTTTAACAGTCAAACGTGCTCAAAGAGAAAGCGAAAGTCATTTTGAAACCCACAAGAGCTATTTATCTAGAGTGTACTGGGAATGCCTCAAAGGAGATGGTGGCAGGTTTACGAAAATATAAATCAAAAGCCCAAACGACTCTGGGCCTGATGATGTTTTCGCTTGTTGTTTTTCTCTACGAAAGAAACAGCGTCGATCAATGCATTTCATTCAGCCTTACCACGTTCCATTATCAAGGGCTGCTTTTTCCAATTTTGCCCAAGCGAATTGGAGAAACATTCAGTAGCTCGGCGAGGCTTCCCTTGGCTTCCCGAAACACTGCGACTTCTATTGAAATCATTCATTGAGCTGGCGTTTATCCCCCAATGTGACCTGAAGCTGGTATTCAAATGCCTGAACGATCCATTGGGCGAAAGTTCTCAAATCATTCCATATGTGAAGTTCTTTGATAAGGTATGGATTGGTGCAATCTTTTGCACAAAACGGCAATCAGCTTCCTTCCCCCCAGATCTCTGAAATCAGTTTAAATGCACAAGAGATCAAAAGCAAAAGACAAATACATCGGTGGAAGGTTGGCATCAGACTTTCTAGATGGGAATGGGCTGTACACACCCAGCTATCCACAGATTCCTTGAACTTAATCGGCATGAACAAAACTTAGTTGAGAAGAAGCTAGTGAGGATAAGGTCCGAAGAGAAGACATCAAAGACAGCGAAATACAAAAAAGTGCAGTTAAGGTTGTCTAAAGTATTAAAAAATCTATCAGAACAACCCAAATAGTAATATACTACAGGGACTGGACTAGATTTTAAATTTGATTTCTGATTTCTTTAACTCCTTGTGTAATAATTAAGCTTTCAATTGTTTCTTTTATTTGCTGAACATCAAACAAAACATTGATACGAAATGTCGCTCGATACGAATAGTCGCTTTTTGGAAAATTAAAATTTGTCGCCTGTTAGGAATCGCCGCTTGTCACGGATTTTCACCCAGCCACAAATCACCTTGACAAACTTAATAAGTAACTTGGAAACCATGTAGAAAAATGAACAATAAATAATCAGGGATCGCGTTATTGACCTTATACACGTCTTCTGAATATTGTGAAGCTAAATATGGACTGTGGTAAAATATTTTTAGACTTTTTTGAGACCATGTTCAGATAGTTCACACTTTGCTTGGTATTTTGAACCGCCCACGTGGGACTCAAAATTGTATGAAATGGTACTCTTTGAAAATCTGCTGATAAAACCACCTTCCCGGTTTGGGCAGGCATAACTGACAACAAAGATACTTCAAACCAAAATTATGATTATTTAACATTTGGGGGAAGCATAGCTAAAAACAGGCTCGCTTTTTCAGTAACTTTAAGCAAAATTATTTCAGGCTAGATCTTTACCTTCTCCTGGTAAAAACATCTTCACACGGATGTATCATTTCGAAGAGGGGGAATTACTGATGACTCGAGCCAATGTCACTTCCTTAAAGCCAAAGCGCTTCATCCTCGAAGGTAATCTAAAGTGATTCGAGTTTTACTCCAAATTACCTCAAACAATTTTGGAACTGAAAACCTGGCTTTGAAGTTTTGAATCTGTGCCTTATTTTTCAAAAGATTATCTGAAGGAGTATATTTGATTCATCAGACTATTGGGTATACTAAGTAAGCTGTTTCGAAAGTCCAAGCATCGTTTTCAGCAAGTTTTGAATAGATAACTTTTTATAAATGTTGAGTGGTTTTTATATTCTGTTTCAGTGTTTTGTTTGTTATGTTTCAATGAAGTTCTGAAAATATTTCAGGCTAAAACTTTGTAGGATGATAGGAAATCTGTGATACTTTATTTCATTGGATGAAATATGTCAAGCAACCATAGTTAACTTACAACGAAGTTAAGTTTCAACACTATCAGTTTTTTAAATGATGGTTGCGTTATTGATGTGTACTTTCAGTGTGCCTTGATGACTACATGACTGACGAACTCCAAGTTGTCGTCGAGTCTCGGATGATGGCCGAACCCCCCGCCTCCCGCAGGAGAGATGTCAGCAACCCGGGAGAGGGAGGGGCCGCGTTTACTGTTGTCGGCATGCATTTGTGGGATACCGGGAGCGATATTTACGGGGCATTTGATATGCATGAAACCATGGATGCGACTTTTAAAGCGTTCTTGAACAAGGAGGAGCCGGACATCCTGGGGTTCCAGGAAAACGGGGCCCAGCTGAATCTCGGCATCTTATCGCATATACGTGAGTTATAAAGTAACTTCGCTTTTTTCGTGAGAAGTTGGGCTTAGTTTCCTATAGATCCCTAAAAGTTTATGCTACTTAAGCTGGTTTGAAGCTTTAAAATGTTTCTTCAGCAGCAAGTCACTGTGATCAAGAATCAGTTTAAGTAAAATTGTAGCAAAATAAAAGTCAAAAATTTTCAATGTACAATTTTCATATTAAAAAGAAATTGACAATGATGCTTAGAACCCAATTAATTTCGCCACCTTCATCGTTATTTTGCTATATTTCCGCTAATAATTTTTCGAACGTTTTAATACTTTTAGCCAATGGTCGAGATGCTATCCAATCAATCAACCAGGAATCCACTGGAACTATTTCGAACTCAGTTCTGATTGCAATCGACGTCGTATTGCAGGACGAGAAGTTCATAATTGAAGGGGATGACAAAGTGCCTCTGTCATTCAGTGTACACGCCAAAGAGCACCAGTTGGTTTCGGCACAGTCGGTCGAGTTTAACCCGGAGTTTGACCCAGATCGGAAGCCGATTGTCTGGATGAATTTGACGAGTTACTTTTTAGTGCCACGAGAGGCGTTGCCAGGGTTGGTACTAATTAGCAGTTGAACAAAATAAATCAGTTGTGGTTGTTTTCACATTTCAAGACGCTTGGAGCTAAATTTTAATCAGGTTGAACAGCTGAACTAATAAGTTCTAGTAAAAAAAGATTAATAAAAAACAGACGACATGGAAATTATGATTGATGTTGTTAAATGGAAAATTTTTGTATTTCAGAGACCGAGGAGTTTATATGGTCGAGATTTTCCACGATTGTAATTCGACAGCCGAGGCACGAGACTTGAAAGTGACTGCACACCTACCCGATTATGCTCACTTCGTCTCGGCTGATTGGAACAACAACTTCGGCCGTTCGGCTTCAGATGTCGACAGCGAGTCGAATTCAGTCGGGTTTACGTTCCACAGCATGCACAAATCCGAGATCATTCGGTTTAATGTCACTTTCGAGTTTGCGGAAACTCATCCGTACTTCACGACTGCTCGGATTTATTTCACGGCCCTTCCGATCGAGCATTCGTATAAGATGTTTCCGAGAGATACCGACACTCGGGATCCGGATACAGTTTACTCTCCCAAAATAAGCACCGAGTTGATCCAGCTGCAAGTACAACGTAAGACTCTTCAAAAAATTTTGTATGACTCTTTTTGCAGAATATGAAGGAAAGTCTCGAACTCGCTACTTTTTTTCACAGTTTTTTTAAATTATGTTTGTATATAACAAAAAAAATTACTTTGAGTTGTACTGTGTTACTATTTTTAAAAGACAGGGTAAAAATAGTAACGCAGTACAACTCAACGTAAATTTTTTTAATAAGAAATGGGACTCGACGAGGACAAAAATTGGACAGAAAACATCTACTAGTCTTAAATTTACCCCCATGAAAACAATACTTCTACTTTTGAAATTAATAATCCTCATATGAAAACAAAAGTTTTTATCTCTCATGTTCAGAGTCCTCGTGTGACAGTTTGATTGACGTGCACGACTTGAACGCCAATAATCCATGCCAATTCTCCGCCTCCACATACCTGGACCCCCTAGTGTACCCGGCCACAGAGAGTTTCCTGCTGAGCGACAGTGGCTACAAGTCCAGCAACTGGGGAGGACAGTACTCCACTGCGCAGAAGTTCAAGGTCATAAATGCTGCCATCATCATAGCTCCTTATAAAATGATCACGCCTCCCATAATGCAAATATCAAACTGCGTGTGACGAAGCTATATAATTTTTTGTTACTAGAATGGGGTGCTATAATGGAAAAAGTCACAGTTACTTACTTGTCTACAGGCTTTTTCCAATTCTTTATTACCTTTTCTTTTAAAAACGATTTATTTCTGCAAGGTTTTTTGGTCGCCATGGCCCTGAATTTGTGGACTAAGAGTTTCTCTATTTGCTCATAGTGGCCAAAATTGCGACTGTACATGAGAACTCAAAATGTATTGTCACTCTCCCTTAGTTGACCTGTCTTGAAGTTTACCTGAATCCCAAACCCCCCCCCCCCTCTCTCTTTGATAAGAGCTTCCTCCCCTCCCCTTAGGTGGCTCTGGTGGATGACTTCTACGTGGCGAGGATCTATGTCAACCTGGACACTACCGTGAAAAAGTTCAAGCTGCTCTACAGCACCGACATTGAGGGTCAGTACTGGAGGGAATATCAAGAACTTCAGGAGTGGAGAGAGGTATGTGAAGTTAGCCGAAAACAAGTGCACTCAATCTTTTTGAAACAAAATAAAACAGAAAACCTCATTTTTTGTAACAAGAAATTGGCTTTAGCAAGCTTCAAAACTAAACAAAACTGCTCGTATCAGGGAAAAACCCTGAATGGTCCGACCAGGTAGGCCAATTTGATTTTCTGAGCTCTCCCAAATCAGGATAAAGACCCTAATTTCACCATTTTTTCGGCGCAGGCTAATTTTTGAAAAAACAGGCAAAAAAAGCGGTTTTTGGCATTTTTTGGAAAATTTTGACAATAAAATTGCGTTTTTTTGGCACGCGCTCACCCCTCAAAATTTATATAATTTGGCGCAAAAGGCGCCTTTAGAAAAGTTTTAGGGTCAGCTGGCCAAAAATTGGTATCTCAAAATAGTACAAAGGGGGTACAAAATAGTACAAAGGGACCTTTGGGTCGGCAGGGGTCGAATCCCTGAGGGGGGGAGATGGGGTTGGGGAGTGTCTCCGCCTCTCCCCTTAAATCCGCTGGTGGTTGCGACTTCCTTTTCAGGTCAATGAAAAAGCTTCTTGTTTCAATTTATTCAAAAATGTTTAGAAAAATAAGTTTAGCAAGAAAAATTTTATTTATCATTTTTGTTTGTTAATTTTATCCGCCATACAGTTCAGATTTAAATTATAAGGATAAAACAAACAACATTGGAAAACTTTAAGCGCGTTGTTCTCAAATTGAGTTAAGATTAAACAAAAAGTGAACAGAACAAAAGTTGCTTGAATACCAGCAGAATTATCATGATGCAATTTATTTTTAGAAAATTCGGAACTTAGGTTTTACTTAGTTAATCAAAAATAACGCTAAGAGTACAGAGCTAATTAATGAGAAATTATATCAAAAGAAGCCCCTCAAACAGCCCAACAAAGTTTCAGAAGAAAAAAATCTCCAAATTTTTGCGCAAAACGTGTAAAATTTGTTGTTTTTTCTTAAAGATTTTGAGTTTTCTATAATAAAAGTAATATTTTTTTGGGCTATCAAGCACAAATATGTTATCTTTCTACAAGTTTTAGAGATTTTATTCTCCAAGTTTTGTTGGGATCTGCGGTAGGCTTCATTTGATATAATTTTGTTATCATTCAACCCAATAGTTTTAGCGTTATTTTTAATTTATTTAAGTAAATCAAGATGACAGATTTCTAGAGTTAAGTGTTTTTGTTCCGCATTTCGCAAAATAAATAACACCGTGATAATTCTGGTAAAATTCTAAGCAACTTTGTTCTTATGTTTTTTTTTTGTCTAGTCTTAACCCAATTTGAGAAAAACGCGATTACATTTTCCCAGGTTGTTCATTTTGTCCGGGTAATTTAAGGCAGCACAGCACGTGTACGCTGTGTAAATTACACAGTGATATATTTTTATGTCTGTTAAGTTATCAATAGGAGCAAGTGGTTAGCCTCAATTCAATTTGAAAAAAAAAAATTTACCGCTACGCTGTATTAGAGCGAAGTTGATTTGTTGACTGTATTTTGAGAAGCTGACTGTATCTGATTTATTACAACTTGATTTATGGTAAACTAAGCAGCCCCAAATTCAATTCATTTTAACTTGGTTAAAAAAGATCACAGATTGTGTTAATTGGGCTCTTTTCCAGTTCCCCCTCTTTGTTTTTTCTGAATTTCATTATATGAAAGTCTATTATAAATGACTTTTTATGCTATAAACTGTCTTAAAACGTGTCAGCGTGAACAAGTGAACAAATTTCTACTACATGACTATTATACAAATTGCCATTTTACCAAAAATTGGTCAGAAATTTTTGAACAGCTTTGTTTTGCAGTTTTATGAGGGTGGGAAAGAGTCGTTAATTGCGGCCATCATTTTTTTCAGACTGCTTAAAATTATTCGGTCAAAAACGTCTACTTCAAAAATCAAAATTTGTCTTGAGAAAAAACCAACTCGTGCAAAAATGTTTTATTAAGTACTCCATAAAACAAAACAAGACTGCTCGTATCAGGGCGAAGCCCTGAATGTTCCGACTGCCATTTAAAGTTTATGGAGCAGTAATAACATTAAAAAATTAAATGAAATAAAACTAAATGGAATTTTTTTCTTCTAAAATTTGAATTTTTTTAATAAAAAGTATCCCCACACCCCAAATAAAGTACAAAAGGATAAATTTCGCTCCTTGTAACAAATGAATTATGGCAAATAAGCTTCTTTTAACCAATTTGGAACGATTTCTAAGACGGATTAACTCTCGAAAGTCGGAACAACAAATGTCAGATAAGGAAGTGCTTCTCCTGGTGCTAGTCTTCCAGCTGATTTGACTAGATGTAAAGAAACCACGCAAAACCATTTTGGTAGTGGTTGGAGCGAAGAAAACTCAAACTAAACAGAGCAGTAAAGCAAATCCTTAATATTATACCCTATGATCTGGCGGATTTTAAAAACAAATAGAACATCGATCAAAATTCATTGTTTTAATCTCACCCAAACAAAAAAAGATCATTTTTGTAGACAATGTTTTGTGCCACTGCCGGAAATTAGTATATATCCGGGCCAAATACTTTTTTGCTCTTGAGAATAAAAAAGGGTATCATTGAATAGCTCCGAAGTGCTTAAAAACCTGAGGCGGGAAACGTATGCGTTTGTATTTTATTTGATTCTTCTTTTACTACTTCATTGAAAATTCAAATGGTCGTTTTTTAAGCATCAATGCAAGAAGTGAAGACGCATATTTATGTCGTAAATCGTTTTCTGAACAACTCATCCCCATAAATTTATACAGAACAACAAATTCATGCTCCGATTTATGAAGAAACGACGGATCATTTGTGCTCGTGTTTTTCTTTTCTTTAGGCGAATTTCGACATTTTAACAATCTATTTATGAGAAAAATATCTAATCACTCTGCCAGAAAAAGGTGAAAAAGGTTTAAAGAAATTAATGGGAGCTCCAATAATCAATATCTTTACAGTAAAAGATAATGATTAATTGAACTCACATTAAGCTCTTTAAACCTTTTTCATAATTTGAAATATTTTTTTTGAAGCGCAAATTTTTTGTTGGTTGTTATAGACTAATTTTCCGATTTCCATGTGTTTTTTTTCTGTAGTACAGGCGGCAAGTTAAGCCAGCGAGTGACACGATCAATATTTGAAACTCTGAACTTAATATTGCAACACTGCATGTGATCAAAGATTCAAAAACTTAAGGTCCAAAAATTTTATTAAATTTTGAATCAATAAAAGTTACGTAAAAAATTTTAAATTTGAATCGCGTAACAGAACCCAACCCACTTTTCTTTTACTCTAAGTTCGACATGGCCAACGCCTACCTATCCTCGGATCCGGCTCACTCCCATCCCGTGCATCAAGTGGGCTACTTCGACATCCGAGTCCTCACCCGACTCAAGTGGGTCCAATTCGTGTTCACCGAGATAGAATCCTCCTCTTCTGGAATCCTGTGGAGGTTCGAACTGTCAGGATGCAAACCAGGAGACTCAGTAGAAGGCGATTACATCAGTGAGTATACATCCGGGCTAGTCTCAAGGCTGACGATGATAGGCTCACATAATTCGATCTTTCGGATGTTAGATTCTGCATGGTATAAATGAGAACGTTTTTTTTTTGGTTCTATGTTCGAAAAGATTTTTAAAAAAAGGTTTCAAGGCTACAATGTTTTTAGGCGACTTCACATTCTCGCGGTTTTCATGATATCACGCATCACCTTTTCAATTCTATTTGGGTTGACTTGTCGAGTTAAATTATAGGGTTAACTCTCTGACAGATTTTTTAACTAAAGTTTTGTATTAAAATAAAGAATTATTCATACATTAAACAATTTGCTTATAGTGGTTATATATAATGCTTATATTATAATGCTTATAATATAATGCTTATATTAATGGGCTAATAGTAAAGTTACAAGTTTAAAATTGTTTGTTCTTGTCCAGGGGCCTGTGGGCTGGACTCGTCGGAGGCTGTGCGTCCCGAATTCTACACTCGAGGCTTCATTGCCGACCCGGACAGCAGGGCACTCTACGTTTGTGAACAGAACCTCAACAAGTTAGAAATTTTAGGACAGAATCACTTAATTGTAGAAAAAAAACTTAAGGTTTAGAGACAAAAAAAAATAATTAAGGATCAAAACATGTAGTTTCTTTCTTTTATGTTTTAAAGAACAAAGTCGATTTTCATTTATTTAGCTCATTTATTTAGCTTATTTAGCTCATTTTATTTCATTTATATATTTTTTAAAAAAGATCACGTGACGCAAAAAAAAATACACATTTTTTTTACGCGTTTAATTTGGCATTATATAAAGTCGTAGCAATTCAATTCTTACACACTTCCTGGAAAACTTACAACGTCTAGAAAATTTGTATGAGTTTCCTTGACTACCATTTTTCCATACTTTGAAACTGTATGTCAAGCATTTTTCCAATTCGTGGAAATGTAGGAAAACTTTTTTCCCGAAATCCATCAAATGGCAGTATTTTGTATTTCACGCAAAATCAAGTACCACATATAATCAACAGAATGGTTGAACGATATATTATAGTAAATCCCTTTCAGTCGTGATACGAATAGCATCACAAGCGTTTCAAAGCATTTTCACAAGTCGAGAAAAACTTATTCAAAATTGTTGCTTTTTGCTAATAATTCGACCTAAAAATAATGAAATTGTTTGAAATTATTTTTTAAAACAGTTTCGTTTTTGAAATTGTTTTTTTTTATTTACTTTATGAGGCCTCGCACAGATAAAAACAACCCAAAGATCTGTTTTTGTACTATTCCTCGAAGTAAAATCTATCGCTGAACAGTAACATGACAGACCACTCGAATGTTAAAAAATGGCACAAAAAATCTCAACCTTTGCTGAATTTAACTTAAATTCCGTGTTATTTTGTAGCCAAAATTTCGACTTTTTACAAACCAAATTTCATAAACAAAACTTAAACAAAATTTTAACCGGAGAGTCAGAGCAACTCAACCTAAAATAGGAATGTTTTTATTTTTGGCTTTTGGAGCATAGCGCTACAAAAAATAAATTTGTATTATAATTTTTGTATGAAAAATTTGTGTTATGTCACTGAAACGACTATGCGACTAAAAATTTTCTTCTTTTATATTTTTTGGGCAATTGTGAAACTTTAAACCTGAAAAACATATATCTAATTTTGCCATAAAACAATTAGCAGTCATAGGGTTACCATATTACAAATATACGTCTATTAAAATTTCAAAAAATTCTTTTTTGATTCTTCAGGCTGAAAAACAGATTGCAATAACACCATCGTTGAAAAACTTTGTTAAAGAGTTTGTACAAAAATTTAGAAAAATCCTAATTGTGGTAAAGTTATTTTGTTACTTTTGTAGAGAAAAGCTTTTTTTGAAAAAATTTAGTCACAAGTCATATATTTCCCATAAATGAGAATTATGTGGAAACGCTTGGCTAGAATTTCTAGTGCTGGAAGGTAGTATAGCGTCTAGCATTATTCGCCCCAAAAAATCAAATACGGATTATTAAAAATTACGATACGAAAGTGTGCACTGGGTAGGTGCACATCTTGGTGTCTGTAGTTCACTGCAATTCTGAGACAAGTCTTCAATAATGTTCCAAAGTAGAAGGGGATTCTACTCACAAAATTTACGTGGATACCATTTACAAAAACTTGCAATGTAATTTTTGTCGTCGATTACTTTTGTTGCAAATTCCGCAGCCAGCGAACATAGCAAGTCAATCCGGATTCTAGAAATGAAAGTGAATTCTACAAAGTTAAGTAAATTCTGTAGTTTTTTTATTACACTGAATTAAACCAGTTCTTGCGTGAACAAGTAAGAGCTAAAGCTACAAAAGAATCTAGCATTGAAAAATATATCTTAAATCATTGTTTAACTAAAATCGTGAATTTTAATATTTGGGATAAATTTCCCAGCAAGCTGTTTCAGGGATAATTACTTGGAAATCACCTCATTTTAAAATCGAATGAGCAAAATGATTATGTGGAACTAGCGAGATTGTGACTTGGTAATATGTATAAAATTAAAACTATATTTCCTTTGGACTCATGTTTGTGAAAACTTTGTCAGGAAAACGACAAAAAGATAGAGAAAAGGTTCCGCTTGAAATTAAATTTTTTTCAAATAACCCGCAACTTTTTCATAAACTGACATTCTTACAATTGCCGATCCAATTTTAAAATCAAATTTATGATTTGATTTCATTCATTATCTTTCGGAAAAGGCCGAAAACATCAAAAAAAATTATAACCGAAGAAACCCAAAAAAAAATCAAGAAGAAAATGCATTGTTCTTTTTAATTTATGTTTCAGGGAAAACAGTATTGATTGTTTTCGGATGACGATTGTCAACGGACAATTTCTCTGGACCGGTATGAAGTTTTTTCAGTTTATTCAGTTTCATATAATTTTATCCGAAGCGCTCAACAACTCTCATGCTCAAAAAGAACTACTGACCAAGTTTTTTTTTAAATTTAATTGTGAAAAAAACAAACGAGAAAATATCATATTTGTTTCTGCATGCTGTGGTGAGTTTAAAACATAATTTTTCGAAGTTTAGAAAGTTAAAGACAGATCTTTAGTTTTGTGGTGTAGCCTACTTAGTATTTTTTCTGCCGGAAGTTTTTTTCAAGAATCAATTCTGAACCTAACTATTTTTGGTGATCGCAACAGGGGTCAAATCTTTGACATATAGTCGGACTCTAGTTAAGCGCATAATTTGGTTATTGACGACCTCTAGTTTTACTATATCGATGATTGAGTTTAATGGTTTATCCAGAGATGAGCAAGAACATGGCGGGAGTGATTGGGTACTTGGTGGAACCAGAGTACCAGATGTTTGCGATCGGTAGGAGCCAGAAAACATACCTGGCATCTTCTGACACGGGAAAAACCTGGATCACAGTTCCCACTTATGTAAGACAAACAATCCTGATTGACTAAAGTGAACCATATTAAGAAACTAGGATGGCCGGTTGCTGTGCAAGTAGCATAGAAGAAAAATTCGTTTTAGAAAAACTGCAAAAAAAATCATTTTTTTCATTTTTTTTTCATACTTGTTTCGTTTGCTGTGCTTGTTGTGATGAGAAAAAGACAAAATCAAGAAAGTTTTTTAATTTGGCATAATTGACTACTATTTTGAAAATCGGAAATATAAACAAATACACCAAAAAATGTAAACAAACTTTTTCATTTTTGTTAATTTTTTTGTAGAGTTTTTACTGCCAAAGAAACAATCACATACATATTACTTAATAAAGCTATGATATAACACTTGAGCCATTCCGATGATTATTTCTGGCACCTGATTTTTCGTAAAAATTTAAAAAACTAGAAAACTACCTCAAAAACTGGAAGAACTACAGGAGCTTTGGCCGTTAAGGTAGCAAAGTGTTCCTGATATTGATTTTGATACTTTATGGCATGTGCAAGTCCCCAAAAACCCTTGAAACGCCGATTACTATGTACGAATTATCTACAGTAGTGGATGGCTTCGACCTTGAGCCCAAACAAACTTTTCAGTTTTTTCTTGTTAGTATTGACGGCACCCTAGTCGATCAAGGGAGGTTCTCGCAAGATAACCTTCCTTGATCGACTAGGGCGTGCTTCTCTCTTCCATTTAGTGTAATTAGGTGACTATGAGAAAATTCACGCTTGCCTTAAATCAAAACCAAAAAGAGCCTTTTTAAAATATTGTCACCGTTCATGTAAATTTTGTCACTCACCTCTGTGATTAAGTATATTATCTATGAATATTCATGAGGGAGTTTTTGTCTTGATTTTGGTTAAAAGAACGTCGAATTAAACTTGCAGGAGTGGTGGGATGCGAGGGCACAGAGTCCCGCCAAGTTCAAGACTGTCAAAGTGATGCCGGACAATCTGCCGCTGCAGAGTGTGGACGACCCCACCGTCAACTGGGCGGTGCTGGGGCTGCAAGACGACTGGTACGGGGTGGAGAAGTTCCGGGCCAACCACATGGGGGTGCACATCCAACCCAATGAGGGCGATCCCTGGAAACTAATCTACAACTGGGGGTCAAGTTGCTGCTCTAATTGACAAGATAAACATTTGCAGACATTTCATGACAAACTGATGACAATTTGAAGAGAATTTATAAGTGCGGAGAAAACACGACAACTTACCAATCTTAACACATTGGCATGGAATAGACAATTTTCTTCATAAAACAACCTTCATAAAGTCACTTCACACATCTCATCGAAATTACATGAAGAAAACATAACTAGTGCTATGTTATATTTTTGGTTGAAATTCATAACCCCATAATCCCACCCTACAAATAAAACTGAAGTACCCTTTTTTTAAAATTGAATGAATATTTTTGTGAATTTGTGAATTTGATCATCAAATTTTACGCTCATATGAAGCATTTGAAAATGGAAATTCACGCCAAAAGAATAGATTTTGAGAAAGTAATGCCATAACTTTAAAAACAAAAGAACTAAGAAAATCATTGTATCTGTAAAAAGTGAACTTATTAATTAGAGTTCGAAAGCTGCCGGTTTCTAAAAAACTGATGCGCTCTTTGGCTTTTTTTTTCATTATTCCAAACGTGTCCGATGCAGAATATTCCGAACTAAAAATCATTTAAAGTTGAGCTGAAAACAAGATAAGGATCAGATTATGAGCAAGGCCAATCCTGTTCCAATCTACCCTTACAACATTCTGATCTCTATGAGTCTTTTCTTATACCAGTCCTGCTAATTTGGCCTATTGTAGACAATAAACGCGCGATATGTTTCGTGCTATTAATTCCGCTTAGATTTCATTGCTATTTGGTTTATTTACCATCTTTCTATATGCGAATTATCAGTTTCTACTTACAAAGCGTGTGGAGGGGAACGATTTTTAAAAAAAATTCTCTGAAAAAGTAAACAAATATAACTTTTTCATTTTTTTTAAATTGCATCATTTTTTATATAAATGGCAGTCGAACATTTAGGGATTTATCCTGATAGGAACAGTGTTGATATTTTTAGGACTATCCGGCACTCATGACAAGAACACTCATAAGAACAAGCAAGACTGCTCGTATATCAGGGCGAAGCCTTGAATGTTTCAACTGAACTTTAATTCCACTAAAAAGTTTTTTGGTTGAATAATTCACGAATTGGCAAAAAAATGTGTTTTTCCCCAAACTCTATGTATAATACAAAAATTGTATTTAGCGTCTCATATTGATTTAATAAGAATAAGTTGCTGGTCTCAATTCAATTTGGAAAGCGTTAATTCGCCGCTGACGCTTGTCATAAGAAAATAGTGATGCATATACGAAAAAACCCATTACAAAACAACCAAAAAAGCATAAAATGAAGAAAAAAATCTGATAAAAACGTCGCGTATCAATTATCTCAAATTGACCACATTAGCAATTTTCAATTTGACGAAAAATGATGCCAGTTAAAATATCGTTTTGAGTTTGAGCTCCAGACAACAATGTTCTCCAGATAGCATAAGCAATTACATCAAAGACGCTAAGTCAAAAATGCGAAAAACTCGAATATTTGAAAAAAAATCCACGCCAAAAATAAATAAATTTCTTTTTTTTTTAAAGTCGGAATAAAAATCACAATCGATTGAGTAGTTCTTTTAGTTCGGCCTTGTAAATTTACTATATAAAGTAACCAGCGGTGCGTTAACAAATTTTTGAACAATTTCATAAGTGTAAGCAAAATATATTTGCCCAAAGCGGTTTGGTTTGATATTTTGCATTAAAAATTTCAGCAAAGGTATCTTATGCTTAAACTTCAGACGAAACGCTTATTTCTTAAACTAATCTAATTGTACTGCTATTCTTTTTTTCTATTCTTCTAATATCATAGAGTTCAAGGGATTTATTTTTGTTAGGGATCTCAATTCGGGTGCTTTTTTTATGATGGAGGGACCGAATGATAAAAAAATTTCAACCAATCAAAACCGGTAGCGTTCCTAATTGCTGAATGATTTTTGCACTGAGCCGAAATAAAAAAATTGCAGAAATCGATTGTAGCATTTCCAGTTCGCGCAGATAAAACAATTTTGTTTTCTTTGTATAAATCGTTATCTTTCAAATTTATTTTTTCCCATAGCGTTTTTGATCAGGGAATGTTAGAAAATTCAATTATCTGCAATCTGCCTATTTTGTAATCGGCTTGTGCCGAAATGAATGGCCTAGATTTATTTGTTTTCTTTGAGGTTTTTGCTATTTACTTAAGATATTTGAATACTAATTTCTGATTGGCTTAAAATAACAGAAATAAAATTCCAATTTTCGATACCTCCATGATGAGGGACGCCACCTCCCATTTCGTTCAAACTCACTGCAGACTTTGACACTGGCCTATAAGCATGTGTGTCGATTAACATGTCCGTGCAAAACTCCGCTAATCATGTCCGCTAATCGCTACGCCCTCGCAGAACTTCTGCTGCTTCTTTTGTCTAACTCTACTGCTTGCTTCATTGATCTTCCTCAAAACATACTCAATTGATCAATTTCTCTCTTCCCAGTTTGATGTGCTCACTTTATGTTTTGACGGTTTCGATCAAAATTTGGTTTGTTTCGACCGTGCTTGATCGAAACAAAGTGCTCGATCGTGCTCCACTCAATTAGGATATGGTTCGACCGTGCTCGAGCGAAAAAGAGATGTTTTGACCGTGTTCAAACGAATTCGGGTAAGTTTCGATTTTGAAAAAACACGAGTTATCCAAATTTCAACGCAATATTTTGTTTTTCGGATAACATCTGATGATGTTCATTTATCAGAATGAAACGATTGGAGTTATTTGAAATTTAAATGTGTGTAGAAATGAACTATTTTTGAGGTAGTTTTTTTCTCCATCTTTTGAAATACTGGTTTGCAGTTTGAGTCGAAAATGTTGAAAAATATGTTGAACATATTTTTAGTTTTTTATAAAGTGAGCACCTCAATCCGGGTAGTGCTTGGTTAGTATACGCATTCCTGTTGCGTTACTATAACAATTATATGATCTTCGCTTTGACCCAAACTTCTAAATTGACTCTCTACGGCTTGGTGACTTAATCAATCGGCATCTAACCTCGGTTTATAATTTTTCTAATCAGACTGATTAACTAAGTAGCTAGGGATACCGTGTAAACATTTGAGAATCAAAGATCCGAAAAATCAAAGAGTGTTGCTAAAGCTTTGTTTTAATGGCAAAAAGTAGGGCAAAGTAAGCAATTTAACTAACCACAGAAGCTGGCCAATATATACCTGCGCAAATTCTGTTCCTTATCATTCTATTCGTAACTATAAATTTCAAAAAGATATCGTGAGCTGATTTGAGTTAAAATTGTCTGTGATCTTAACTAACTTATTCAACCCTCCGGTGACTCAAAAGAAATTGGACAAACTTTCAGCTGTAAATCAGATCCTATTGGCTGGAGACTTATTTTAATAGAGAGTGAAGTGAGTTAATGACAGAGACAATACACTTCAATCAATTCTTAGAAGGCCAATTTATATATTGGGGCTGCGTCTGCTCGTTTGAGACAGCAGTTTACAATTTTTGATTTTAAGAAAACAGTGTAGAATAGCCAAAACACAGTTAAAACAATTTTTTCCAAAAAAAACACATTATGATTGTTCACGGCTGTTATTGATATCGTCTTTTTTCTATGAGTATTGTCGCACAAAAAATGTGATTGAGCAAGTGTTTTTGTTTTCATTTGATGTAATCCCGGGGTTTTTTCATGCATTTACCAAATGTCGCACTGGTTTTTTGTCCTTAACCTACTCTTCAGCGCGTCATTGTTGCTGAAATTTGCGGTTGATGGTATTTGGTGCCGGAAGTACTTTTTTGGTTTCATACCGCCAGACTTTCAAAGAACCATTTATTGTTCCGACTTTCGAAGAAAACGGTATAATTATGCTTGAGCTGGTTTTTTATTCTGTCATTTTTCCACTTCCCAACTAAGGATATTTCAAATGGTTGATATTTCCAATTTTTTTGATACATCCGAAAGATAATTTTATCCAGAGCTCAAATATATATATAAAATTTTACTTGTGAGCTTTTTTGTAAAATTTTGGGTCTTGAAAACTGCTTACTTGACCATTTTGTGGCAATTAACTTGCAATAAAATGCGTTCTTTTAACCTACGTATGCGGCAGGTTAACGCGCATTCCAAATTAAATTGAGGCAAACCATCTGGTCTTTAATATTAGAATAGACGCGTTATACATCCTCTAGTATTTCACATTAGCCTTTGGGGGAATGAATTGAAGACAAATTGGAAAAGACGTAAAATTTTTTCTTTTTTTATTTTTGGTCGGTTTTTCAGGCAAAAAACACCTTTGCTTTTTAATTCAGTTTGTTTTAACCTTTTTCACAACATTTTGTTTTGAACCGCGAAAAAAGTTGGAAAAAATTTCGTTTTATTTGACCAATGTAGTAACTTATAAACCTGCCTTTGCTAATTCATTTTAAATTGAAATACATTTTGACAATTATAAAACTCTGACGGCCAATTGATGCTTTACTCAAATCACAGTATTAGGCCAACCAAAAACAGGGTATTATCGATTTTTTTAGATTAACAGTTTCACGGTCTTTTTTCGAATTCACAGCTTAAAACAGCAAGCACATTATGTCGCGCATCTACTATTACAGAAAATCAAAAATTGATCAAGAAGCTTGGAACGTCATCAAACTTTCAAATGAACTCAGCGGTAGAGTTACACCATGATTCGCAGTTGTCAGTGAAGTTTTGGCTGTAGCAGATGCGATCTCCACTCAATTTGCCCTTCCAACTAAAGACAATTCGATTCACACGGCGACACGCACACGCAAGCAGATAGAAATAAATATGCCACTCATGTGGGAATTTTCGAGATTTTTGAGTATTTCGTAAATTTCATCCGGTATAACAGTGGATCCAATGATCACGAGTGAATCATTTTGTGCGATCATATGTGAATGCGGCACGTGTGAAAGATCTGATCTTTCTGGTTAGATGATGTTACGTTTAAAATACTCCCAAATGGTTCCATCAGCTATACTCAATATATGTTAGAATAACTGGTAAAGCATTAGGTTGCTTCTACGCCTTCTTCTCGAACAAAATCGAAAATCGTACGACCGGTTTTTGCAGGCTGTAATTGATTTAGCAGCAAACTGTTGGATTGAAAAAAGACTGTTTTTTTTCGAGCGAGCTGCTCTTCAATCATTCCAAAAATAATTCCTCGGAGTGCTTTTGTCGGTTTATTTTTTGTTAACTTAACTGTTTAAAATACCTGAACTCAAAAGCCGTTTCTATAAGTTAACACTGTTTTAACCCAAAATGAAAATAAATTTTTTCTAAGGCGATTTAAATTCTAAAGGGACTTAACATTTTTTTATCCAAAACGAAAGAAAATTACTTCTAAGAGGATTTAAATGGCAAAATGTTTCTCGCCTTGTTTACCAAGTCCGTCGTATGATTTTTGTTTTCTTTTTAGATTAAAATGGTATTAAGTTATAGAATTGAATATTAAATGTAGTTGTTTGAAACAGCTAAGATAACAAAAGGTAGGAGGTGAAATTTCATGGTGTTAGATTATTCAGAGTTTAAAAGGTAGGAACCTTAAAACTGACTTTTACTTCAAGCTCTTTTTATCCTTTTTTCTTTCCGCGAGCCCTGAGCACACAAAATTTCATGTGCGACGTCCAATTTTAATTGAACAAACTTTTTAGAAGGTGACTTCAGAGCCAACATGCACTAAATTTGCGCGCCCAAAGAAGAAACTTTTCTTAATCAAAATCTCCAAAAATTGCTTTTAATCTATTTTTCAAAAACGAACCCCATACCCCCGAGAACCGTAAACCTTTGACCAACAGTACTAAGGAAGAAAACGTACTCTACCAAAACGAACCGCAATGAGTAATAATTTCTTGAATTTGTGGTTACAATTTTTCTTGCAAAAGCAATAGGTTGGCTGGAATTAGTGCCATGTTGACTTTTGCCGAACGCGGCGGAATGTTAACGATAGGTTTTTTTCTCCTTGCCCATTTGATTTTGTTCACCACCAGCAGTCTCGATATAATTTTTTATACCACAAAAAAAGTTCAAAAAAGTTATTTTCGCTGTGCTGAAAACTATAAAATATTTCATTCGTGATTTTTTCCTAGAACTTTCGAAACAGCTATTTTGGGGGTTAATATCATCAACCCGGGCATGAAAGTTTCACCAAAATTGAGAATAGTTTGCGAATCTCGCTCTGTGCTTAAAACTGAATGGATAAAGTTTGAACTTAGCATGCTTAAAAAGTGTTCGATTGCTCTCGTTGTCTAATTTCTTTGGTTAGGGAGTCAATAATTTTACTCTGCATATCGACTATTTTCTTCGTTGCTATAACTTCGTCTTTCAATTGACTAATCAAGCCAAACTGCTGCTGATAAATTTTCATCGAGCCAGTTTGCAGGAACTCGAAATCTTTCTGCAAGAACTCCATATTTTTGTCATTCTCTATTTTGCTGGGGTCAAATAAAATCGGAACATGAATCATCACGACGCAATCTGTCCACGTGTCGATTAGAACTTCGTAGCGTGAACAAACCAGATGGTCTTGAGTGAAGTTTTGCTTCTTGAAAAAAGAAATCGCATCTGTATCAGCTAAAACGGCCAAAGTGTCGTACTTGTCGCTTTTGGCTTTAACTTCATCGACCAAAAACTGGCCCAATCCATGTTTTCGGTACAGCAAACGGACTGACAAAATTGTTATGTGAAGTATCTTCTCGCTTTTGATGGCGAAACTTCGTTCGTAAGTGAGTGCCGCTATTAATCGGTTTTCGACGTTGAGCGTGGACATTTTGATTCGGCGAGCACACTCGATGTAAACTTTACGGATATGACGCCGCTTAGCAACCTGAAAATTAAAAAAATAGTAAGCTAAAGCAGACAAAACTGGACTGTTTTTCAATTTCCCCTTCTTTAAATTTCAATAATATAAATTTTGTTGAAAATGATTTACAATGTTTAATGATTTTCAAGTCCTAATTTTCGTGCCGTTGTTTCTCGCTATGCTTATTTTTGAATAGTTCAGCCCATAACTCATCGACCGAAAATTAGTTTCGCTCTTTCCAAGTATAGACCTCAAGCTAGTGAAAAAAAAAACGTTATTCACTCATTTCGCCCCTCTCACGTTTCGCCCCTCATAAATTACTGGCACATCGGCGAAATGTGCCTCTAAATTTAAGAGTTTAAGAGGGGCGAATTGTGTGTGGGGCGGAACTTAGGACATTAAAAAAAAACTTAAATTTGAATCAGAAAACTAATTCTTAGTGTACATGATAAGCTAGTTTTTTTGAAATCTTGCAAAAATTCTTCATAAGATATTTTTCATGGGACTATAAGAAACAGAGAGCGATTCATTTTTTATTTACAGAGTTTAAACTAAAGTTTATATGAAATTTTTAGAAAAAAAAAATCCTAGATTAAATATTTCATTTAAAATAATTCAGAGAATTTTTGGCCCACGCTAATGTTAATGAACACCAATAATTTTAACCAAGAGTTAATGTAATTTAACACTTGGGCTACCCAACATATAATATCTGTCTTTCTTTCATAAAAACAAAGTTTAACAAGCATAGCCGTTTACTGAGCAAGTAGCACATAATGTTCCGACCACAGTCTTAGAAAAAGAAAAAAAGTTTTTTTTTCTGCATGGTGTGATAAAAAGGTCTGAACGAAAAGAAAACTTAGGCATATATGAGATTCATAGTAAAAAAGGCCTCTCGCAAAACATTTTTTGAAGTAAATTGACAAGAAAAACTAAAAAGTTTGTAAAAGAAAAATTGACTAAAATTTTAAAACTTTTTTCTTTTTTGGCAGAAATTTCTGGAATTTTTAATCCTTGTTTACAAAATTGCGCTAAAAAACTCCACACTAATTTTATTTGAATGAAACCAAGATTTCACGGCTCATAGTAAGCTTAAATAAGCTTATTGTAAGCCTAGACGCTAACCTTATTAGCCTGAAATTTGACCGAAAATCAAAAATTTCAGACCGGTTTTTCCGACACTGTGAAAATTTCTTCAAAGTTTTTTTGATTCGTTCGAATCACAAGTTAAAGTATATATGAACTATTCCGATGATTATTTTGGGGTTCCTGATTTTGCGTGGAGAACGAAAAGAAAAAAGAAAAAAATTAAAACACACCCGAATACAAAGTTCCTCCCTACTTTTCAAATGGTCGGAACAATAAAATTCTCGGAATCCGCGGTTCAGAGAAAAACTGGGTGGTATCAATTCATTCCTTCATTGCCAATAGTTTATATTTTCCGTTGTATTTACTTATGATTGAATTTGTTCAAAAAAGTTTTTTTTATTTTTATTTCATTTTTATTTTATTTTTTTTATTTTATTGAAACTTTACCTCGGCTAAGAACATGTCAGCACCCCTCATATACTCCTCTGCGTCCTCATTATCCGAATCTTCCGACTCCTCCTCCGACTCTTCTCCTTCGTCCTCCTCGTCCGAGAATACCCCCGAGAACTTACTCGGTCGACAACTCGGACACACGCTTTTTGCCCGCTCTTCCTCGGATTCCGAGAACGTTCGCTGCACGACTTGGAGAAAGCTCTCGAGTGACGGGCCTTCAATTAACGATGAAGAGTCGGCTGCACTGTTAGTGCTATCCGTTGCGTTTGTGACGTAACTGTCACCATTATGTAACTCTGTTACATCATTACTGTCTAAACAATTGGGTAATGACGACGAATTCTCTGTCTTGTCATTTTCAGAATCATCAGTTAAATCGTTTTTGTTTTCTTCGTTTTGGTGTTTTGAATAATTCCTGGAATCAACATCTAGATCTGGCTCGCATTTGTTGATTGTACATAGCTGTTCTAGTGCTGTTTCTGCCGATAATAGAACAACAATTGTCCAGGAATGTTTTCCGCAAATTGTAGAATACAGAGCATCAGGTTCGATATTTGGTAAACACGAATTGTACAGAGCAACTATAGCATGTAGAAGATCTCGATTTTTAATCAAAGGGTCGATAGAATAATCGTCTGAAAACTTAAGCAATCTGTGAAAATTGACCAGATAACAATTCGCTTCAAGAGTTTCATTTGATTTCGAAGCAAACTGACGTGTTCCTAAACGCTCAATTGCTGTATAAGCCATTGTTTTTTTTTGCCAGAAAAAATATGTTTTTTTTTTTAGAAAATGGTGTGAGTAATTCTTGTTTTATAGCTCAGCGCATGTTATATAATCTGGATTATGCACGTGTTTTTCGATCGTTTGAGCAAACGTTTAACCATGTTTTGTTTTCTTGTACATTTTCATTTGAGTTCTGTTTTAACTACATCGATGCTATAAAAGAGCTCTAGTGGCCATTCGTGAAACGTTTCGGGTGATAAATTAAGAAGTCTCATTTTTGAAAATTTTTCACAAGACTCGGTCTTTTTCATCAGACTCTAAATATCTAAAATTATCATTAAATTAGACAACTATAGATACAAAATTTTTCTAATTTTTTGAGCTGGCGATTTCTTTGAGGAGTTTTGTGTTTTCGCAAACGTGTGCTTCAATTGCATCCAGTTTCCGATACAAGTGGTCTGATTCAGCCTGACTCCTCAAATCAGTTGATGCCTCGACTCGAGTTGTCTCAATTTTTGCCGTTTTATCTTCGGTTGCTAATTCGGAAAAAAAATTAACCCAGACATAGTAAAGATTTGAAACCTAACTTTTTCTTGTTCTTTGTTACTAGTATCTCATGTGCCTTCTAGAGGTTTTTTTGAAATTTTGAAGACTATTAAGGTCTTGCGTGAGACAAAGTTACAATCAAGAGTCAGCAAAGAACAAACGAAATTTCAGTAGAAACTAAAATATTCTTTAAAAGCAGTTTTTGGAAAAAAAATCAAAATATCAAAAAAATGTTTAAAACGTGTTTTGTATTTTGAAATTATTTAAATTAATTTCATATGTTCGTTTTAAGCCTTCGTTATATTCTTAAGCTGTAATAAAATGAAAGTAATCCGAAACTTCAAAATTCTTTGAAAAATTGTCTGAAAATGTACGAAAAATCGTTCAGAATTGTGTGGGTTAATTTCGCCCCTGGCGCATCTTCGTTCATGTCACCCATGACTGCACAAGTTATTTCGAAGAGAGTGTCGCTCGTTTTTGAGATGGTGTTGTGCATTCTGGTTGTACTCGCCCGCATCTCTACCCCCATGTTGGTCAGTTTGTTCACACTTCCCAGGGGGATACTGAGGTCGAATTGGATGTTGCCCAGATCGTCTTTCTGTTTGCCGTCTATAAAAAATTGCCCGCAGGAATTTTAAACCGCAATGGTAACAATCAGGCTTTAAACTTACTCAAATATTGCTGCAAAATAAAACTACAGAATTTTCGGTATTTGTATTATGATTTTTTTCTTAATAAATTCAAAATATTAAACAAGATCATGATGAATTTACTCTTGAAGATCTTGATGAGCAAAATTGAAAACTTCTGAGTTTTTTTACACTAGGAAATTATAAACACAGAAATTTGAATGCATTATTGGTGCAATTGAAATCTAAAAACGAAACACTGATTTCAAAAAATTATAACCTAAACCACTTTTTATCAGAAGAAAGCTTAAAACAATCAATAACGACCTTGATATTTTCGAATTGTAGTCTCAACTGTCTCAATGACATGATTCAGAGTGAAACTATTTGTCCGCAAGAGGGCGATCTCTTTCCTCAAATCACGAACACAGTCGTCCACTTGAGTCAATTTCTCCACCAAATCAGATGTCGATATTTTGTTCGTATAATCTTCAGGCACTGAAGTTTCCGTTGAGCTCTTAGAATCTGTCATGTTCGAAAAACTGTTTCAAACTAAATTGTTTGAAAGTAAAATCATGAAAACTTTTGGGATATTTGAACGCCCGAAACTTTATGTATACTTGGTAGAAGAGCGAGTAAGTTTTGTAGAAGTTAAGTTTTCTAGATAAACGGGTTTTAGAGCACGGTGAACGTGTATGAAGAAAAATTTACACGTGAAAACAGACCCATTTGTCCCTTTCCAATTTCTAAAGGTATATCTGGGTTTGAAATAGAACCAATAGCACTAAACTCTAAATGCTTGCAGGCAAAAATTGTACATGCCTTCTTCTAATTTCAGACTTTAAAGCCTGATCCAAAAGCGGCAACTGAAGGAAAGAATTTTATTGTCGTCCGTCCAGTCTTTATGCCGAAAGTCAAATAATTTCAAAGTTTCAAAATGTATTAGCGCTCTAGCCGACTGATCAAATTGAAGCTTTTCTACTGTTTTCCGCGAAGCAAAAACAGTGAGTTCAACCAGTGGAGGATTTGGGGAGGGAGGACGCCCCACACATCAGGGATTCAACCTCCTGACTATCCAAAGGGTCCCCGTTGCTACTATTTTAAGACATCAATTTTCAGTAAATTTTTTAAGAGGTCTCGGCATCTAAAAACACTAAAATTATGTGGAGGTTTAAAAACTGGCAATTCGGCAGATTTGGAACTACTAAAAAGCAATATATCAAGTTTTATAATGCTTAGGTGTGAATATATTGTGGTCGCGAAATAATTCCGGAACGAATTGAGTGTAATTTGCTCTACGAAAATTGAGCCCCACAAAATCGTTGCAAACTTATAGACACTAGATTAAATATTTAGGTACCAACAACACATTATAGGTACCAACAACAACATCTGACCAAAGTCTACAGAAAAATTTTAATTAAAAAAAAATTCGTTTTATCCAGTTTTGATTTTATTGTCCAGTTCAGATATTCATTTTAATAGTGTCGATCACGGTCAATCAGTGTCGATCCTTGTCGACCAAGTTCGATACTTAAGTTGATCAGAGTCCATACATGCTTTGACTACAGTGGATCACCGTCAGTCAACCACAGTCGATCACTGTCGACCAAGATCAATATATGACACGATTCGACAAAAGTTGACACATTAGACGATGATGAGCCAACAATTGCGAACAGAAGCAAAACACGAGTTAATGATTCTACGAAAACTTTGATTTGACTGAAGGCTTCTTCCTAAAAGCAACTTTAAAATTAATATCGAATTAGTGTAAAATGGTATACATTAAAAAAAGACATTGAAAAGCCTAGTTGTTTGATTAACCGATCTACATCAAACCGAAGTTTTCAGCACCGTTCCCTAGGGTAATAGGAACAATAAATGCTGCTCGACAAAAGTATGTGTATTTCTCTGCTGCAGCTTAAATGCATACATTCAAATATTTTCTGTCCACCAAGATTTTTGTCCAATAAAGTCGACCAAGATTGTCCAAAATTGATCAAAATATACATTTTACAAAAAATGACCAAAATCCATTGAACCACCAAAAATGACTAGAATCTACAAGAAGCATGGTCAACCAAAGTCGAACAAATTTGTTCAAAGTCGAACAAAAATTACCGGGTCAGCCGAAGTCGGCCAAAGATGACAGTATAAATTATTCGGCCAGCAAAATTGACCGTGGACAAGCATTTTTTTGACCAAACAGAACAAAAATTGAACAGAATTTTACAAAGGCAGTTAGCAAACTCAGTGATAACCGGGTTGAAGTGTTTGACTTGTGATTTGAATTGGAAAAACGAGCAAATGCATTTTTTTTTACTAAAACTCCGCGGTCGAGAAGCAATTTTAAGTCCAGCGAAAAAAAATATACAACTTCGTTGAAAAAGTCAAAACATAGGTTGAGTACAGTCGAAACATAGGACAAACGAAACCTGATTTTTTCAAAGTTTTTTTTTGTGAAAAATTTTAATTACAAAAAGAGCAAAGAAAATCTGCTCCAAAAAGACTTGCGTCCGAAAAACCGAAAAATGCAATCAGCAGCAACCATTTGAGATTTCGTGATATTTACCGAATACTGAACAATTATGAAAAATTACATGAAAAACATGTCATTTTATACGAAATTATGGAGTCAATATTTTCATCGGAGTGCATAAATTTACTGTCAGAAACTCCTAATTGTTTTACTGAAACTGCTCTGAGTCATACAAAAAATTCAAATTAAAAAGGTCTGAACAAACTTATTATTTTTGAATCAGGTTTTTTCAATATTCGCTCAAAATTGTAGAAAACACTAACACATTTTGAAAATTTTGAGGGCTATTTTTTGTTTCAAAAAAAATTTTGATAAAAAAGGCATGAAAAACCGATGAAGCTCTTATATGACGAGGCCAAACTGTGCATTCTGTGCATTGTAAGCGGATTCCGCAACAAGCGCAAATCAGATTTGTGGCGTAATCCGCAACATTGCTAAATTTCTTTGATCTTTTTTGCTGTTTTGGATTCCACTAACAAATACCTACAACACTGTATCGTTCAAAATTGCTCCAAAAATAGGCAAATTTGTGGAATCCGCAACCGTATTTGCGGATTCCAGACCAGTTGTGGAATCCACAAACAAATAATGAGACATGTATATTGTTGAATTGAGCTGTTGCGGAAACCGCAACTGTAAGTGGAATCCGCACACTGTGAGTGGAATCCGCAAATTGTAAGTGGAATCCTCAAACAGTAAATGGAATTTTGTTTGTAAGTGGAAATCGTTTGCGCATTCCCTTTACATATATGTATGCGTAGTAGCGTAGTAGCGTTGATCAGCTACCAGTTGGAATGCCAAACATTCGATCTCAATTACTGTCAAACACCCAACTTCGATCTCAAATCCTGTCGAATTTACCCAACTTTAATCTCAATTCCTGACAAACCAAAGCAACTTCGATCTCATCTCAATTCCTGTCCAACATGCCCAGCTTCAATCTCACTTACTACAAAGGTCATCTTCGATGTCAATTCCTGTCATCAATCTCAATTCCTGTAAATTTATTCATCAGTTCATTTCAAGCCATTCAATTAAAATAAAAAAATTTTAATTTAGCCATTTTGAAAAAATTTCAAAATGCAAAACCAGAACATAGTTTGACAACGCACCATTTTCAGGACTATGAATTTGTGTTTTCGAGCTTAAAATTTAATTCTGCTGTAACTCAAAATTCGGTAAATTTTATCTAATACTAATTTACTCAAATTAGTTAATTAGATCATTTACTCCCTGTGAACAAAACGACTCGAATTCACTCTCCCAAATACTGAATGTCAAATACAAAATCCAAAATACTGAAACTCAGTTATTGAATCCCAAACACTGACCTAATTCGGCGATATGTCAACCCAATAATGTATTAACCCAATTAACGAATTAACCCAATAAATTTATTTGGTGTTGTAGTTCCAAAACTATGATCCCGAAAATTGCTTGCAAAAATTAAAGTGTGACATCCATCAATTTAGTTGACCAATGTTTTAAGATTTGTTCGTGGATTCAGCTGACAATGGTTAAGTCCTTGCATTTAAATTCCGCAAGTGCATATGCAAGTTCATATGCAAGTTTGAAATACTTGCATTCATAAACAAATTTCTGAATTCCTCTACAGTTTGCGGACTCCGCTCACAAATTTTGCATATTCCACTTACATTTACGGATTCCGCCTAAATTTTGCAGAATTTCACTTACAATTGCAGCATCCAGAACAACTAGCTATATATGCTTGTTGCGGAATCCGCAACAAATTAAATGTGCCGACAAAATTTTACGTTACAAGTATATGTTCGCGGAATCCACGTAAATCTTGTAAGTGGAATCCACTTACATTTTGGAACATGTTTAAATACTTGTCTCAGGAATCCAGGAAGAAACAGACACAAAATTGTGCGCCTATCCAGTGCACAGTTTGGCCTCGTGATGTAAAATAAAAAAAATTAGAAATATAGTTTTTCTTAGATTATTTTTGAAAAAGTTTTTCCATGCAAGCTCTGTAAAGATCAATAGAATGCATTAAGAGTCTAATATCTCAATATAAGGAAAATATCTAGCCTGAGCGAATAAAAAATGATTTCCAAGCTGTTTAATTAGCCGCTTACGCGTTTAAAGCACGAAAATATTGGGCGGTAATTGTACAAATTGGCCAAATTGGCAATTTTTAAACGCCATTTTTTTGAAAAAGACAAAAAATATCAGAGCTAATTGGTTTTTATACATTTATTTCATGGTGTAATACTAATAAGTTCAAAAACAGAAAAAAAACTAAATAGTTTCAATTTTGAATTTCATCTGAAAAATGATTGAGCGGAATAATTGGTCTCTTTTTGGGCGTATGGAAGAAGAAAAAACCCTTTGGTTACTATTCACAAAAACAGTCGCATTAGTAGAATATCAATGCAGAAATAAACTTAAGCTTTTAATGAAATTAGTTATCTATGTATATTTGGTTGGAATGGGTTAAATCATTAAATAAAATTATCAAAAAATAAAAATATTTCATCAGAAATTCATCAAAATAGAAAAAAAAAGAAAAAGTTAAAAATTAGTATGCACATATGTACACCCCTAAAAATTTTGAACCATGTAAAATCTTGAACTTGAACATCCACGAATAAAAAAGGTTTACATGCCATGTATTTGAATGTGTCTTTGTAGGATTAGGTTCAATTTCAGTAAAGTAGATTGTTTTAATTTTTTCCTAAATTTTGATTTTTCAATGTCAAATTTTAGTACTTTAACGGGGGGGGGGGGGGGGGGGGAAATGCCATTTTTTGAAGTTAGATAAAAAAATAAGTTTTTGTAGAAATGCAGTTGATTTACTGTAGTCATCAAATGTTATTTTAGTTCCTTGATTTTTTCTATAATTAGCTATCGGTCATTTTAGTGCATTTGCGAAAGTTTTTCTTTTGCTGGTAAAGTTTTCAAAAAGACACGTAGCAAATAATGGCCATCCAAACTAAGAGCAGCATTGCATTGATTGAAAAATTTGTTGATGCCTAAAACACCTAAATTTACTTCACCCAAATCTATGTTACAATCTTACTTAACTTAAAAACAGCTTTCTCAGTTTCAGTACATTTGCATGAAAAGTTTTCTGAAAGCACCTAAAAATATTTTCAATCTGTTTGTTATCAGTAGCAGTAGTTTTTTCTCTTAATTGAAATAGATGCTTTTTTGTTCGATTTTTTTAGTGATCTTGGTCAATAAGTCCTTGGTTCCGTTTATTGGTTTCGTTGGGTATGTTAAAGT